TTTTTTTTACAATAATCACCATATTAGCTTAGCATGGTGTGTCGTCTTTGACTTTAGGAAATTTGATCCACATTTTTCACTATTTTTTGACTTTTAGAGACCAAACAACTAAATGGTTTATCTTGAAAATAATCTACAGATAAATTTACAAAGAAAATAATTGCTGAATATAGAAAAAATCATTATATCAGTGTATGGAATTCATCAGGGAAGCATTTTGGGTCCTTTTCTATTTTATGTACATGCCTCTTTTGAAAATATGACCATTCATCATGTTTAGGCAGATTACACGTGATCGTATGTCTCAGTTTCATCACTTCTTTGCCTGCTTTTACAACCAGAAACAGAAAAAGTTATTAAAAACAGCAACCACGGTCTGCTGCTGCTTCACAATCACGACTCGACTCCCGCTGAGCTGTGACAACTTTATTCAGTTTAGGGCTGGAAACAAAAAACAACAAGCAGCACTGGACACGTCTACTGAAGCTCAAACTAGTATCTGGACCAAAGATGAAGGAACGACGTACAGGCAAGAGAAAGTCAGAGCAGATGGAGCTAAAGGAGAAACCAAACACATGGGAAAACATCTGATTGTCAACATGTCCTGTTATTGCTATTTGCCAAACTTGAACTTTCACGGCTGCTTCAGGAAGTAGTCAGACTCCAGAACACTTTGGACGGTCGTAAATATCGTTTTAAACGGACTAAACTGACTTTTTCCATTTTCTCGACAAGCTTTGCTTTGTCATTCTGCATTACTGAGTGTAGATTGATGGGAAGATGTGTATATTTTCCATTTTAAATTAAACCTACAACACTCCAGTGTCCAGAACACGTCTCAGTACTTTCTGTCAGCATGTTAACGGACCGGACCGGCATGTTACTGGAACATAAAGCAGGATCTCTAGTTTATATATTACATACAGTATACAACAGGAGGGATCATTATAAACCTGTGCAACATCATTTAAATGATTCAGAACTGTATCATCTCTAAATAATTACATGATTAC